GAGGGACACGGGGAATCATCCCCAGCCCCGGGAGGGACCGAGGGACGCGTCGGGAACCCAACGGTGCCGGGGACAGACGGACAGACGGACAGGGGAAGGGCAGATGGACAGCTCGAGGTGCTGAGGGGGCTCCTGCTGCTCAGGGCGATTCCACAACCTCTCGTTTATCAGGTTTTTTTCCCCCTCCCCCAAAAAAATGACATGGGAAAATCCTCTGGGAGCTGGAGGCTCAGGGTGAACCTCCAGCTTCCAAATATTCCAGGGGAGGGGAAAAGGAGGGAGGGATGTGCTCGAGGAACCGTGTTTTGGGTGGGACATCTCTGAAATAAAGAAACCTCTTTTTTTTTTTTTAATTATTTTTTAATTCATTCATTAATTAAGAAAATGCTTGACGATTCCGGTGGGTGGAGTTCACACCCCCCCCCCAAAAAAAAGGCAGATTCTCCGTGCTCATTAAAAGCAAACTGAGCCCGTAAACGTTACCTAAGAGGCCTCCTGAAGGTTTTAATCTGTCTGAATGCTATCAATTAAAAAAGTGATTAATTTAATTAATTAAATAGGCGGTTAATTGGCGCGTTTTCCTAAATGGCAGTCAGCAGGAGTCAGGGAGAAGGGACAGGGAACATGCACGTTGGGGCCCTTCAGGGGGTTTAAAACACCAATTTGAGGCCAGTCAAAAGACCTCGCAGGGACAGGGACCTTCAGGAGGAATTTTCGGAGTCTTCGAGGAGATTTTGGAAACTTCCCGTGGTTTGGAAGCGTCTTGAGGCATCAGAAACAAAATCCCTGCCTGTCACTGGGACGGGGGTTCTGGGCAGAACGTCACCCTGGAGGGGGACTCAGCTGTTGGCCAGGGGTTGTCCCACCCTGGAGGGGCTTGGAACCACCTGGACAAGGGTTAATCCCACCCTGGAGGGGCTCAAAAATCACCTGGACAAGGGTTAATCCCACCCTGGAGGGGCTCAAAAATCACCTGGACAAGGGTTTATCCCACCCCTGAGAGTCCCAAGTCCCTGTTGGTTGAGGTCAATCCACCCCTGAGGAGGATTCAGTGGTTGGCCAAGGGTCATCCCACTCTTGGGGGACTCAAGTCCTGACTGGCCAAGGGTTTGTCCCACTCCTGAGGGACTGAAAGACCACTTGGCCAAGGGTCATCCCAGCCTTGAGGGGGACCCAAGGGTTGGCCAAGGGTCATCCCAGCCTTGAGGGGAACTCAAGGGTTGGCCAAGGGTCATCCCTGAGGGATTCAAAGACCACTTGGCCAAGGGTCATCCCACCCTTGAGGCACTCTGGTAATGGTTGGCCAAGGCTTTTCCTGCCCTTGAGGGGCTCAAAAAACACTTGGCCAAGGGTTGTCCCACCCTGAAGGGATTCAAAGACCGCTTGGCCAAGGGTCATCCCACCCTTGAGGGGGATTCAGCAGTTGGCCGAGGGTCATGCCACCACTGGACACTCAAGGGTTGGCCAAGGGTCATCCCACCCCAATGGATTCAATGATTGGCCAAGGGTTATCCCACCTCAATGGACTTGATGGTTGGCCAAAGGTCATCCTACCCCAGTGGACTCAACGGTTGGCCAAGGGTCATCCCACCACTGGACACCCAAAGGTTGGCCAATGGTCATCCAATCCCAGTGGGCTCAAGGGCTGGTCAAGGGTTATCCCACCCTGAAGGACTCAATAGTTGGGCAAAGGTCGTCCCACCCTTGAGAGGGATTCAACACTTGGCCAAGGGTCATCCTACCCCCACGGACTCAACAGCTGGCCAAGGGTCATCCCAGCCTTGAGGGGGACTCAAGGGTTGGCCAAGGGGTCATCCCACACTTGATGGACTCAATAGCTGGGCAAAGGTCAAAGGTCATCCCATCCTGATGGGCTCAACGATTGGTCCAGGGTTATCCCGCCCTTGAGGGGGACTCAAGGGTTGGCCAAGGGTTCTCCAGATGTGTGTTCCTGCCGCTGGAGAACGTGCAGCACCCCCCCCAGCGGGGAGGGGGCACACCCTCCCTCCTGAAATGACCCTCCTGAATCCAGAGGGTCCCACCCCTCAGTTCCCACCCCCAGAGCAGAGTCAGACTCTCCAGATCCTCCCTCAACCCCCTTGGAGGCTCAGGATGGCTCAGCCTTCCTCCAGCTGGACAAAACAGGGCGTCCCTCCTGCCTTGGCCTCCCTCCAGGCTGCCAAAGGCACCAGAACGTCCCCTGTGGTGGGTCCACGGAGACAGGGGAGGATGTGCCGAGTCAGCTGATAATCAGCGCCCGCAGATAAGGCTCGAGCCCCACGAGTGGCTCTGACGTCTCCAGACGAGATGTGCAGATTATCCCCAGCCTGGAGCCGGGCTCAGCCTCCTCCTGGTGACACTCAGCACCAAACCAGGCCCTGGGAGCTCCGGCTGGAGGAGCTGAAGGCGGGAGGATCATGGATGGGAAGGTGGGTGGACAAGGACAGGCTCGGGCTCCACGTCCTGCAGAGCCAACCGAGAGCTCCCGGCCCGGATCTCGCACGGAAAAGCGGCTGCAGCGGCTCCTCAAAGCAGCTCCGGGGCCGGGGAGAAGCACAGAGTTAAAAACTGGGCACCGAGGCAGGTGATTCAGCACCAGAACAGGTGATTAAGCACCAAAACAGGTGACTCTTGCCCCGAGCCAAACACCGGAGCGCTCCTGGCTCAGCACCAGCTTCTCAGAGCCTTCTCAGCGTCTTCTGTTCGGGCCAAACCCAGCCCTGTCACCCAGCCCTGGCACTCCCGGGCTTCCAAGGGAGCAGATTCCCTCTTCCAGGTGCAGGATTCCCTCTTCCAGGTGCAGGATTCCCTCTTCCAGGAGCCCTCGTAGCCGTTTCCCGTTGCCTTTCCCAGATTTCTGCCCCAGGTCTGCAGCTTCCTGACCCTCTCTGGGGACACGGGGCGGCTCCCGGGGGGGGTTGTTGTGGGACTCCCGATCCACCCCCGACAGCGTTTTGTGCCCCTTTGATCTCTCCCCGCGGCGCAGGAACCGCAGCGCAGCTCGGATCAAACGCACCCACAACTCCCCTCCCACCCGCTCCGAATCCTGCTCTGGGAGGGAGGGAGGGAGGGAAGGAGGGAGGGAAGAGCCCACGGGGGGAGCCACTCGGCTCTCCAGGGAGCTGCCGGGGCCCGGGATGAATCAGCCCCTTCCCAGCCCGCCGCGTTCCCACGGCTGGAAAATCGCGGCTCGTGGCCCCCCCACCTCCACCCCGGGGGTCGGTTCGTGGGTGACGGAGCCGGGCCGAGCTCCAGGGGACAAAGGGGTTTGGCCAAAACCCACCCCCCCACGTCCTGCCGCCCTCCCAGCGCTGCCCACGGGACACCCACGGCCCCCACTTCTCCTTCCTCCAGCGCGGGATCGAAATCTCCCTCACCCGGAGCTGCTCCAAGGGGGAATGTCGGGAGTTGGGGGCTCGGCGGGAGTGGGTTGGTCCCACCTTCCAGGGGAAGGTGTCCCCGTCCGCGCCAGGGGGTTGGATTGGGGTGATCTTTAAGGTCCTTTCCAACCCCAAACCGCGCCACGATCCGACGACTCTCCCAGGTCTCTCCCAGCCACCCCGGGGTGCGGGTTTGTGGCCCCGGGTGGGGGCCAAGAGGAGTCCCCCCACCCCCCACCCCGAGCTTGGACACCCACCCTGCTCCATCCCCGCCCCTCTGCAGATCCCTCCAAGCCCAGGGGCCATCCCTAATTTCCCACCCGCCATCAGGAACCCCCCGAAGCAGCGACACAACGACCTTGTGAATGTTCTCTGCGGTTTATTGGGAACGGCAACATATCCCGGGTGGGGGGAGGACAGCGAGGCTGGGGAGGGGTAATGTGAGGCGGGGACATCTCGTGCCCTGTCGCGGGGGGCCTGGAGGGTTTGTTCTCCTCGCAGACAGCCCGGGGGAGGGGGGATCGTGTGCGAGGCGTCCCAGGGGTCACCGGGAGCGGGACGAGTGGAGCGGCGGTCGCAGCTCCCGGCCGAGCGAAGCCCCCCAAAGCCCCACCCTGAGCCGGCCCGGCCCTCCGGCCACCTCCGGAGACGCCCCCTCGCCAAGGGACGGGCCCCGCTGGCCCCACACCCGCCCCGCGGGGAGCAGCGGGATGGACCCCGCCAGGAGCGCGTCCACGGGGGACACGGGGCGGGAGGGGAGAGCGGGACACGCGAGTTTTATACACGAGAAATGTCCGAGGCGGCGAGGAGAGGGGGGGGGGCACGGCGGTCCCTCGTGCCGGGCAGCCCCCCGTGCCGCGACCCCGCCGGCATCGCCCCCCACGCCCCGCGTGGCACCGCGGGCCGGGCCGAGCCGGGCTCGGGGGAAGGGGGGGGGGCGCGGCTCGTCCCACGGAGGGGTTGCGAGTGGGGGGGCTGGGGCTGCTGCCGGCGGGAGGGACGAGGAGCTGCTGCTGCTGTTGGAGCTGCTGTTGGAGCTGCTGGTGCTGCTCGGCGGGGCTCAGAACCGCACCCCCGAGGACTTCACCGAGGTGGTGACGCATCTCCGCACCGAGGACGAGCCCCCGCCGGAGCCGCACATCCTCCCGCTGCCCGACGAGAAGCCCCCGCCGTGCATCATCCCCCCGCCCATCCCGCAGCTGCCGCCGGCGAAGCCGCTCCCTCCTC